TAGCTCGGATACACATGTATTTGTTGTATTTGTTTATTTGCTTGAAATTATCGCTAAACTTGAGTTAATTTGAACTTTTCTCCAATCTGTGTCTGATTGAAAATAATAACATTTACATAAAAAGGACAACAGTTCATCTAGCCTTCAAGTTACATTTACATCCAAGAGTGTGAGAGTGAGGACCCTCCCACAGTAGCTAACACAATACATTTGTTAATTAATTAACTTTCACTGTACTTTCCTTGTTTGTCCTCCCAAGAAGTCAATACAGTCAATGCTGTCTTTCTTTTCAAAACGTGACCACAATAGTTCCCCAACCTTCCCTAACCATGAAGGGGCCATGTGTTGTTTTTAGCGCGGGTGCGTGCTACAACTGAGTGAGCCAAAACAAAAACCGACAGACATACGGCATCACGCAAAATGCTGAAAACTCAGGTAAACTCCCACTGCAAAATTACAGTTATATTTTTATCTTGACGTTGAACTAATCAACATTGACTGCATTTAGCCGACATGATACATCAGCGTTAGCTCGTATTTTATGCTTTGGTGGAGTTTGTGCTAGAGTCTGTGTTGCGCTGGGAGCCAGTCATTTTTTGAGATTTTTTCAGATCAGTAAATGCTTCTATGTGTTGTTCTAGAGGACATGGACAAACAACATATTTTGTCTGTTGGTCTGGATTACATTTTCCACCTCCACTGTCCATCCATCCATCCATCGTCAACCGCTTATCGTACGTGCAGGTTTGCGGGGGGCTGGAGCCTGGCTGTAGCACCATCCGGGAGCACCCGGAGAGGACCCACGCGGACACAGGGAGAACATGCAATAACCTATCTGGATCCCACGAGTTTGAGTATTTTTCCAATTTAAAACAACGAAGAAATTTCAGATTTAATGTGTAACAGACCCCGGACGTGAGGTCTGTTTGCAGATTATGATTTTTAACCTGTAGATAACAGGAAAATTATGAGACAGGCAACAGGTAGTGTGCTTCTCTTCCTCACTTCTGTCGTACTTTAATACACACGTATATTTTAACTACATTCTTCACACCACATTTCTCCTTTTTTTTTTTCAATTTCAAGGTCACATCATGACAAACTAATATAACAAAATTCCAGTTTCTGTTGGAATGGTAATATTCCACATATTCCACACCTCACTAGTCTTCATATAGAAATAAAATAAAATACATTGTTCTCCAAATGTCTTTGGTCTGCTGCTCACAGCTATAATAAGTGAATTAGTAGTTGCATAAAGGCTTCCAGCTAACCTGGCTGCTAGGAAATAATACATGTTTAGCATAAAGCAAACAAAATACAATGGCCTAAACCCACAGGTGAACGACATGAGTAGCAGTAAATATGCATTATAAACACCAAACATTATCTCCGAACACATTCTTCACAAAGCTGCTTTTTGCAAGAGCCTAATCAACTGGATACAATTATGGAGCGTATATTAGCAGTCGAGAAAATCAAGTTCAATACACACGTTATACACAAGGTGAGCCAAGCTAGCTTAACATGCAAAGTAGCGTTAGCATCCTCGACTACGTTACATTCACGACACTTAAAAACAACAAAGTAGAGGCTCAGATAAACAGAGCACAACAAGGCAATAAAATATATATTACACTTCAATATTTTTTAAACCCCATGGATTTTACTTCATGGATCTTACTAACCTGTAGAGAACAGGAAAATTATGAGACAGGCAACAGGTAGCGCGCTTCTCTTCCTCGCTTCTGTCGTACTGAAGACGAGGGTCGGCTGAAAAAAATCGGTATTTCGCTCCTAACATAAATGTACATCAAATTAACTAAATGTGGCTCTGCTACAACAATAAACACCTGGAAATTACAGATTACAAATAAAATCACATAATGTGACCACACATTCCTGTGTGTCACAAATGCACAGACATAAGCGTGGTATCAATTTCATCTAACTCTCCAAGAATGCAAATAAGCTTATTTCCCAAAATCAGAGCTCAAAAATAAGGATTGCCTGGGGCAAGGAAATTGACACATCAGGCTAGTAAACGTAGGAACTCACTTGTGCGATCAGGCAAAATTATATTTAACATATTGAATTCTGATCTGTTTTTAATAATAGATTTTTTAAATAAGCAATTATTTAGTTACGAAAAATAACTAAAAGAACCGAACCTATAAGGAGTATCGATAAGAGTAGATGTATTGGTAAAATCCTAGTGATACCCATCCACACAATCCTACGTGTGTTGACTCGGCAGGGATAACATTAAAGGAGAAAAGTTGATCTATAGAAAAATAAATATTTGAAAGCAATACAGAATGCCTGATAGTCTTACTGCATTATATTCAATTATATTTTGAATATTAACCAGGTGCCTGAAATTTGTGTTTTCCTTTACATAAACAAAGATATTTCCACTATGAATGAATGCTGAAACAATCATCAGAATGCGAGAAAGTCAGGACACCCCAACTGCCCGCTAAATATGCCCCAAATGTTTAAATGAACGTTGCTGCCTTTGGCCTTTGTATCTGGCACAGAAGACCAATCTAGTGGAGTAAACATCTGACCAGAATAATCACTCACATTATTCCCTCAGAGTATCTAGTTCCTCCCAAACAGTCTTTCATATAAAAAAAAAAAAAATAGGTATTTTGGTGAGAAATAAATGTGTCATAGCCTGATGTGCGTATATGTTTTCAAAGATTGGACCTCTTATTTTGAAATTAAAGTGTTCAACATTTTCTCCCTGGCTGCCGTGTCTGTCTATTTAAACCCCCCTGTAGAAAACTGCAGTACTGACTTTCCTACAGCAGATGGAGGCAGCTTTGCTGTTATTGCAGCTGTTCTTCCTTTGATTTATGCATTTGGTTGATTTATTACTAAATCTGAAGGTCTGAATGCTTACAGCACTTTATAACACACTGTAATGTAATTGCTTATAAATACATTAATAAACACTTGTAATGATATATATTTAAAGCTACATTAACTTAAATTTATTAGGTCTATACTGTCTATAGTGTTACCCACAAGACAATATGTGACTCAAGGTAAATTAATTAAACTGATAGCAGCATGAAAACAGGCTGCACAGCCTGTGTATTATATCAAGTTAAACATCAGTTTGCCTACACAGCGAGAGATTCACATGTAAAGGGAAGCTGTCTATTGGAAAGTTATCCTTTGTTGTTCCATCTTTGAAATTATTTGCAAAGTAATAACAGACAAAGTGAAAATCAATAGTAAGAGCATTTCTTTTTATCATTAGAGATTCTTCACACTTGTTTCTCCTACGGGGACTCATCTTCTATTTAAGAACGGCAAGGTGTTCAGAGGTGACTACCTAACCCCACTGCCAAAAATTACGTCCTGTGTGATTAACGAGATGAGAGCCTGTTCTGGAAGCATTAGGAGCAATAATAGCCTCGCTAGTCTGTCCAATTATCAGTCTAATGATTATTTAAGCATAGTGGGACTTTGGAGTAGGCCTGCAGGAGGAGCCGTGGTTTGGTGTAAAGTCCCTGTTGTGATAAAGAAATTACATTGTTAGAGTCAGTTCTAGCTTCAAATTTTGCCAGATTTATCGGAACCTGAATGGTAAAGTGTGAGACTCTGTATGCAGATTTTTTAATTTTGTGCCAATCAATGACAAAGTAAGTGGAAAGTCGAGGCGATTTCAAACGCTGTCACCTTAAAAGTCTCAAAGCAGACCTAAAATAAAGCTCATTGAACAGCTGCACACAAGAACAAAGATATTTACATGTGCATCAGATTTGTATGTGCAAACATTTACAGTATGTACTGTAAAAGGGAGAGAGGGGTTTGGTGATGATGAGGCCAGCTGCAGATAGAAAGAAACTGTTCCAGTGGTGTGGTTGTGGTTCTGACGCAGCCTCCCGGCAGAGTCTCTGAAACAGTTTGTGTCCAGGGTGTGAGGCATCAACCATAATCTATCTAACCTCAGAGTCCTGGAGGTGTACAGATCCTGGAGGGATGGAACATTGCAGCCAAACACGTTTTCTGCAGAGCGAATAATCCGCTGCAGTCTGCCTTTGTCCTTGGCAGTAGCAGCAAACCAACGTAATTATAACCTGGCACCTAGTATCATTTAACATATCAAACAACATTTGTGGCCCCGCTGTTAAGGCTCTGTAAACAACAGAATCACTCAATAAGTTTCGTCCAATAGGTTTATACAATAAAGGACAAACATATAAGAAATTAATTAAGCATATTCTTCAGACATCAGGAATAAAATTATAAGGGAAACACTCGTTTTTAGATTCCAAAATTAGGGATTCCAAGGAAGGTTAAAATCATGAGGATACTAGAAGAAGTTTCGCCTCTCATCCAGGAGGTGTCTTCAATTCTGGCTGACTGGCAGGGAATCCCAGCTATTTAACCTCTGTGGGGTCGTTGTCAAGGTGATCGATAAACTGTCCTTTCACCCCTTCCCAGGAAATTGAACAAACGCTCACAAGCGGTATCGGTCATCCTGACAATGAACCCACAGAGGTTAACTGGGACTGGTCAGTCAGAACTGAAGAAACCTCTTTGATGAGAAGTGAAACACCTTCTCATATCTTCAACCAAGTACAGTTGCCCTTGATTAGAAACTGCCTTGGATAACTATGAAATTATTGTTAGAAATTAGATGTTGTTGCTTCTTTTTTATATTATTATATATTGGTTCTGCCTCTGCTGTCTGAACCTATGCTTCCAGAATTTTAAAACACTCATTGTGCTTTTTTTTATTTTATTTTTTTTATATTTCTGACACACACATACATTATTTGATTTATTGCATTGAGTTTTTCAAAGTCGGTTAGAAGGAAGTTTAGTTTTATTCCAGAAACCACTACAACAGTCACACTACAAGAAATGGTCAGTTTACACTGTGTATACAGATGATATCACCCATTTGTCATTTTTGCAGTCGCTGTATAAATGACTGTATGTAGCTTAGTTTTAAATACAGTTTACAAAGCACACAGTAGAGATGTTTGATTCTTCCAATAGTAGCCTACTTACCAGATATTGCATTCTTACATGTTTTTCTTTCAATCTTAGCGACTAGGATGACATATGCCAATACACTTGATGCAGTGTGATTGTAAACACAAGCAATTCAGTATGTCACAGGGTTTCCCATCCACAACTGATGTGTCATCACAAATAGTATGTCCAGACGCAAGTTATTGCGTGACTTACTGAGCCGCAGTACTTTTCCTCAATCAGAGTCGGCCAAACTGTCTCGGCGAAAAGGGAAAAAGTCAACACAGAGGAGTCATCTAAGACACTTAGGTTTAACTTTGGGGTAGTTTTTCCATTTGAGAATATTTGGTTATGCCCATTATGAAAACCTGTTATCTTTTGGCCACATTGCATGGTAGATGATTCTCGAACATTAGTGCAAAATGATGAGTGTTCAGAGGAGCTCTTGCAGTTTTGATGTCAACTCCCAAAGTGTACATACAAAAATATTTCCCTGATGTAAGATCAAATTAATCTTTTCCCGTCTTTGGATAATCCTGTCACTGTGAATTAACTTTGATTCAAGAGAAACACATTATTTTACTTGTTCTGACAGGTTAACTTTCTGCTCTGAGCAGCATGTACCAGGAAAGGAAAAAAAAAAAAAACATCAGTAAATGCACACATGAACCCACTCATTCCACACACACACAAACAAACACCTCAAAAACCTCCTTTATTACTACTCGGTGTATTTATTGAGTACTCATCCAGCCTAACCAAAGAGCCCTAATTACACGCATAAGTGAGTGACAACTCCACTGAGTGGGCACTACACATACAAATAAGACTGTATGTAAGGTTACAGGTTTTTTAGTGTGTGCATGAGAATGTGCGTGTGTGGGCGTGTGTTTGGAGTGTGAACTGCAGTGTACATTTGAGCTTGCGTGTGCACATGATGCAGCTGCTCCTGGTGCACCGGAACAGTGTTAGTCACTGTCACCCTGCTATTCAGCAGAGGATGATGGACGTCAGAGGGTCAGCCTCCAATTATCCTCTTTACTCTGATGAGGGAGGCTGACCTGCCTCTCCAAACGCCTCAACCCCCTCGTTCCCCACCACCATCTCTTTTTCTTTCTTTGTCATTCTTTCTGTCCTTCACCGTATTTGTTATAAAGAAAAGGAGCATAATAAATAGTCTCTATTCGTGGAGCTGATTTTATTGTTTAGAGGTCACAGCAGTTTTAACTAGACCGAAGTGTACACCAGGTCATACAAGGTAATTTAGGAATAAAGTCTTATTATTTTATAATTCTCAAACCCCAGGTTTGAAACCTCTTCTATAAGATACCACTGGTAGTATAAAGACTGTGGTGTACTGAAGAGCACATAACATACCTGCATAATTTTCAAAAGGATGATTAGTTTGCTAGTGGCTATGGAACCCTAAGCAGCAACTTTCATGCCTCAAGCCAGTTATGTGTTAGTGGCAGTTTTAAATTCGTATTTGACTTTTAAAGGTCCCATATTAGATTGTTTTCACTTGGAGGATTGTTGTGAATTTTATATTCTTATTCAAGGGGAGAAAAAAACAGTTAATGGGCAATAGTACACTTTGCTGAGTGGCTTCTTTTTGTGACACACACTTGTTTAAACAGGTTCAAACATATTGGGACAGCACATGGCCGTAGATTTTTTATGAACATATACATGTAGAATCCCAGGCTCACACACAAACCTGCCATCTGTAAAAAAAGAAAAAGGTTGACATTTTTCTATTTGCATCACTTGACCACTTATATAAGAAGCTGGTGAAATGGGTACATGATGTATTGGTCATACACAGCAGTAGTGTGTGAAAGCCGTAAGTTAAGATTGGAGGCCACAAATTGAGGAAACCATTCCATTAGGTTTTATTGACATCTGTCGCAGTTAATTAGTGTTATTTATACTGGCTGACAGGGTACAAAATGTCCAGACAGTCCCCTAGAGAAAACATATTGAATCCTTTTCTAGAATTATCCAAGAAAATCTCCACACATGGGTACCCCATCTGAGCCTGTTACCTTCTCACAGAGGGTGACTTTTAGCTAAAAGTTAAACAGGATTAAAAACAGCTTTTCCCAAAGCGTACGATTAAATTCAGCCACAGGCAAAATGTGTTGACAGAGGGTTTTAATCTAATTACATTCCTGTTTTGAGGTCTGTCTCCCAGTGAGATCTAGTAAGCTGGGACAAGGAATGTGGTCTCAAGAAGCTATGCCAGCTCTGCAAGTGCATTTAGGGCATGTCCAACTCTAGTTAAATGCTAGTTAAATGGTGAATAATCTGGGTGCAAAGTAAGGTGCAAAGGGGTTGTGGTCAGTCATTAATCATGGGTATGTTTTGGCCGTAACATGATTTAAACCAGTCAGAGTGTCATCTTACATTCCCTTCCAGCGTTCCTATTCAAATGCGGATGAATGTCACATTATACAAACCATAATAAAATGTTTCTTTTTAAAATGTGATGGAGAAAGAAGAGCGAGAGAGGAGCATGTGACTGTAGTGTCAACATGATATAAAAACCTTCATATGATCTAATGTTACAGTTCATTGGGTTATGAGTGAAGTGTATGAACTACACTGCAGACTGGAGTTTCTGTTAACAACAGACAGACTGATCTGCGTTATATACGTTGGTCTGTCTCCTCATCCTGCATTATTATGATGACCTGGTTGTGGGCCACATCTCTGTCTTCCAGGTCATTTCTTCACGGTGTGTTGTATTGATGTATGAGTGTTTTCTTGAATGATTTACTTTAATGATTAGATAGGCTGCTGTCAGTACACACGTACGATCCTGTCTTGGGAGATTTAAATAATCAATGAAATTATGCTGCTGTGCATGTGCGTAATTGCACACAGCGTCTCTCTTAATGGGGAGACACGTCACCCCATTAAGAGAGATGCTTTGTGCTCCAGTGTTTTAAGCTAGGCCTAACTGCTGATTTCAGCATGCTAACATGCTCATACTGACAATGCTAGCATGCAGATGTTTACCAGGTATGATATTTACCATGTTTACCTTAGTAGACCATACTAATGCTATAATTGGCTAATTAGCACTAAACAATACAGCTGAGGCTGATGGGTATGTTGTGAGTTTTGCAGGTATTTGGTCATAAAACAAAGTTTTTGGATATATCCAAATTTTGACCTGATGATGCTAGAGGAAAAGTCTTTTAAAATTTCATAGTGACTTAATAGTTGAGATATTTCACTCTGGACCAAAGTACTTTGTAGAACCACATGGCTAGCCTGACAGAAAAAACATTATAAGTTAGTATTTCCAGATTATTCCTCATTTACTAAAGATTTATTTAGAGCCTTTAAATGACTCATATCTACCAAAGTTACCCATTGAGCACTTTATTTCAGCAGTGACCATCACGGAGTTAATAATAAATCCCTTCAATGTCACTTTCCCCACATAAGGAATTTCGCATAAGCATTTCAGATTCACAGTGTGGGGGCAGGTCAGGTTGAATCTGCAAGGGTCCTCATTGACAGCCTGAGCCTGATTGAACCACTTTATGGACCCCTGGCCCTGATCTGTTCTCTTTAACAGATGGCAATGCCAGCACCATCAGCAAATACAAACAAGGCCCTGAAATTAATAGTCTTATTGATTTGTGCCTGAGCAGACTGTGTCATCATCAGCTATAGGTACAAAAAGAGACGCATCTGTGTAACTGAGGTGTACTGTTGGTCTGGAGGGTCCGCTCTAATTCTCCAATTACTTGTGTGTCATAGTTTGTGTTTGTGTATGTGTGTGCGTATGTGTGTGTGTGTGTGTGTACAAGTGTGAGGGCATAGTAGCCATGGTAATGAAAAACACCCACCACACTGTTAACATTAATACATAACCCTACTTGGAATATTATGCTTCAGAGCCTTTCATCACCTAAACACAGTATTGCAGAGTTTTTTCATGTTGCTCCCATTTTGAAAAGTCACTCATCCGCAGCAACATACCCAAAGTCATTTGAACTAAACCCACTCTTTATAAGCCATTAGAAAGGTTACAGCACCATTTTGGGCAGGTTGAGCCATCAGGTGAGCAGCTAACGTTGCAAATAGTAATGAGAGACTGCAATTTGTAAAGCGTGAGTTACTTAGGCCCAATCACCACTACTCCGTTTTAGTTTAAAAACAGAGTTTTAAAACAAATACGATCTCCGCACCAGTGTTTTAGCTGCGTATCAGAGTTGATCTCTGTCTACATTAAAACGACTGAAAATGCACATCTAGTGGCCGTTCATGTTTGTAAACATTAAGCAGATGGTCTATTCTGTAGTTACAGAAGTTTTGGCGAAAGAATAAATTAGTGCAGACAAAGAATCACACCAGCTTTTTTCAAAAACTCTGTCAGTAGCATTGTGTTTTTGCTTTGCATGACTGATAAGACCCAATCAGAGAGGCAAACATGAGCGTCTGCGTCATCATTTCTAAAGTCCTCTGTTTTCGCATGTCCGCGCTTAAGCACTACCCGGAGTTTTAAAAATGGTCGGCAGGGTTTTCAAACTTCTCTGATTTAGGCTTTCGTTTTAGCCATTTTAGTCTGGACGGGAGGTGCAAACGTAGCAAAAGGTCTCTGTTTTAAAACAAAAACGTGTGTGGATGGGGCCTTAAATACAATTAGAGGAGGAAAAAAAACACATTATCCACTTCTTTCATTATGTTTCTCTACAGATTCTCTGCACACAATAACAAAGATTCAGTGTTTAATGTCGCACTCACTGTTGACTGTCCCTCAGACGCTCCTGTTAGACAAATGAACACTGCGCAGACTTTTTCGTCCCAGACTCTTTGCTCTGCGGCTCACCATTAACCTGTGTGGTCGCTGGTTCACACAGTGTAGAGTTTCTGTTGATTTATGAACCTTAACTCAGTGGACAGCAGTATCACACGGTGGTGGCAAGAGATCCGGCTCGACATCCGTCATCCAGGGCCCATCACTCATGATGTCAATGCTGCATGACAAATTACAACCTTTAGTGGGACAGTTTGTGCGTATGTGTCTGTGTGTCTTTGTGTGTGTGCGGGAGAGTAAGAGTGAAAGTGTATTTGAGCCTGATTGTCCTTGTTTGTTCATGAGGGAGGAATCTGTTTTACTACTTTCAGGGATTAGCATACTCGTGATAGCTGTGTCTACATTTTTAATGCCATTTACACACTCCAGTCAGACCGGACCGGCGGAGGAAACCGGAGGACCTGCAGTGTATTAATAGTGCTTGTGCATTTAACATTTACTGCTGACCATTTTCTAAAGCTGGTAGGGGAGTTTTGTATGTGTTTTTCTATCATTGGCACATGAAGAAAAGAAAAACACACTTTGGTCTAATACATGTATTTAATGATCCAACCAACCTGTCAGTCATCATATCTTCATCAGGGCCTCCTAAAGCTTAGCAATATAATTAAAGGCCCTCAAAATGTATTTTTCTAATCATCTAAATTTGTGTTTTTCTCAGTCAGTTAGAAAAAGGTGATGTTGTGTGCTATTTCTTCGCACCAGTCAAGATTTAGCAATGTTTGAATCAAACTGTGATGACAGTTGGTGGGTTGTTTGGTTACTGTCAATCAAATCTGATCAAATCTTTTTTTAAGCTTATTTAGTCATGAATATTTCATGTCAGATATATTTGCACTGGACCTACAGTAAGTGTTCAGATACTTGTCTTTTCTACACATTGAGTGCAGGGTAAAACTGCCAATACTCCCGTTTTTCCCACGTTTCTCCCGTATTTCAAGGCCATCTCCCAGTGCCTTCCCGTTTAGTTGTAAATCTATTCTCTGAGAAACTTGACTGAGACTTTACACAATCATTCTGTGATGGCACCTACTCTGCTCATCAATTCAAGCATAAATGCCAAACATTTGCATTTTACAGCTTCTGAAATGTGAGGATTTGCTGCTTATCTTTGTCATGTATCACAATAAATTAAATATATTTGGGTTTTGAACTGCTGGTGAGACAATGGCACATTTCCTATACAAAAGATTTATTTATTTATAAAAAAAATAATCAGCAGATTGATTAATAATAATAATAATTAGTCACAGCTCTTGTAATAATGCAAGTGCATTAAGTGATTAACTAGGTTTCTAGTTGCTGCAAATACATTCTCATACATACAGAAATAGGATGAAACCAACTGTTGGAAGGTGCTTTGGAAAAGTGTAAGTAGTACTGTCACGTGAAGTATCTGTCATTTGTAGAACGTGGGCTAAAATGTGCTTTGGTACGGCCCTTTAAACACATGTGAAACATGTAAAATGAACCAAAACTGTAAAATGAATCACCTGAATTTCTTTATAGCTTTTTACAACAGGAACTCTGTTTATTTGAGAGGGCAAACAAACCAGGGTTTCATCTCAGGTGGCCAGGCTGTATCTTCAACCTAGAGTAAAATAGAAATACTCACCATTACCAAGACAGTTATAGAAACATCCAACAACAGATGGTGGAAGAAATAATGGACCCAGCCCATCAACAACATGCCATTATCCACTCGTTAGTCCTCACGTATACATTTTAAGTTCTGTTTTTGTGTATGCGTTAGTCCCCGTACATGCAGCTACTGAAATAGCCTGCTGAGTGGATGTGTAATGGGGAGCCAAGGTTAAGAATGTGTGGCCTCCATTACCTGCGTTGCTTCTGCTCTCAACCAGTTTCGTTCAGATGTTTTCTGGTGATCTGATGTATTTTTTTATATATATGCTGTGAATAAAGGAGGTGAGGGCTGATTCAGAGCCTCAGCAGGTAGATGACCTGCATTCACTACCTTACTTCATCTTCTTGTAATGACATTGTCAAGATCAATATTATGAGATGATATTTTATAACTGTTTTATAACTGAGCATATAAGCAGAACATTAGACATTAGAACCCATTGCTCTATCTTTTAATCAATGATTTGATATAAAGCAGTTCATAAACTGGTGGTGATGATGTGTGCAATTTACAACGTTTCTGGATTCTGAGCTATATCAACTTTTACTGATGTCCTGGTGCATATTTAATTGTCCTTTAAATATTATACTTATGGTTTGTACTTAATCTTATATGATTGCTTGTTTAGTGTAGAATAAAATGTTTGTTTATTTGCCTCCAAACAGCCAATGTACCAAACTGTACATTAGCTATATGACAGCTAGCAACGGACTTACCAACCTTGTCTGTCACAGTGTGTCCGTGTGTGTTCAGCTCAGCCTCACTCATGCTCTCTCTCTAAATTTCTCTTTGCACTGAACACACAGTAAGAGGTTTAATTGTGCATTGAAATTAAACTGAAAAGTACACAGCAACAAGACTGTGTGCTCTCTCACCTGGTGGGATCATAATTATTTGAAATGAAGAATAAAAGGTTGATGCACAATAGGCATTTCTTCACAGAATTTATGCAGGAGTCTGAATAAATTTGTCACCCATTTAGTTAATTAAAAGAAATAATAATAATTTAAATTGCAAATACGAATGCCATCCACACGTCCATTATGAATTAAAATACCATTCTCCAGTCCATGCAAATCTTAACTATTCTACTAATAATCGCGCTGGAAGTCTCATCACTGCACACATACACACACAGAAGGCCAGTCCACACTCTGCAGATGGTCTCCAGTCTCGCAACGGAGCAGCATACATATGTAGGTTACAACTCAGCCAAATGCTCTACACTGAGCCCTGGCAGAGTGCTGAAGGTCTGCAGCCAACTGACTAACATTTACAGGGAAATCACCCACCTGCACGCACAATCCAGCCACAGATGGTGCTGAGTTTCTGCTCAGGGAAGGCACAAAGGACGTGGCCACCGATACTGTCAGCAGCCATGTATTTGTTTACAGTCATAAGGAAGAGACGGTTGCAGGTGACAGATGATTGCAATGAGATCTATTGGATGTTCCTCCTTCTCAGGGCCCGGGGTCTTTTAAATTGTTGGCCGTCAATGTGTTTCAAGGGATATGATGGTGGCAGGGTGGCCTAACAGTGAGAGAAATCTGCTTAATTTCATTGAGCCTCTGACATAGCTGCAAATTAGTCACCTTTCTGCAAAATTATGTTTTGAATGATGGCACCCGCCTGATTTAGGGCCCGCCTGGGAAAATCACAGACACACCTGCACTTGATGCATGACAGTGCTTGACCACAAATTTGTGATGCAAACTGTTGTTGCTGTTTTTGGCTTGCTGTTACTTGAACAGTTGCTGTTTAACTGAGCTGCAGAACGTTAGCTTGTCAAAATCGAGCTAACTTTACCTTTGTTCACCCCAGCAACAGTGGTGAACAATTAAAAGTGGTGCGTGACGAAACCTTAGTTGGTAATTGCATTAATTTTCAATGTGAGCGGTTTACTACTCAAGGCAGAGTAGCCGACAGCGTATGATCTACGTCAAAATGCCCACGGCTGTTGTTTTCTATATTGAAGGTTCAGTGTGTAATATTTCTGAGGATTTATTGACAGAAATGCAATATAAGATCTATAACTATGCTTTTAGTGGTGCTTTTAGACCTTACATAATGAACCGTTATGTTTTTATTACCTTAGAATGAGCCATTTCTATCTACATAACTGTGGGTCCCCCCTTCCATGGACGTCACCATGTTCATGTTTCTGCAGTATCTGACAACGGACAAACAGTGCTACAGACCACGTTTTGTGATCACGGTGTTCTTCATCTGCTTGTATAATTCCGGCAGTGTAGACGTCTGTCACTACATCGAATGCGTATGAAGAATAAGTGGAGGAAATAATAATAATAAACAGTCTGAGTAGTCATCTGGTTTATTAAAAGTAAGAAGAGAAGTGACATTTGGACAAATGAATGAGCACATGTATTATTTAGCACAAGCAGACAGCCTGTGGATCTTCATACGATGAAGCCAGACAGAAATCATGGATATAATCATTGTAGATTTTCCCAGATGGAAGGCTCTGATGTGGGACAGACGTTTTCAAAGCGGTGCTGAAGTTGTCAGATTTTAGCAATGCAAATTAAAATTGTTGTTTGATAGCTTCAGCTGGAAGATGGGCAAAATCACCGAAAGATGTGAATTGTTTCCCCTGTCAGTAATGTAAAATATGTAATGTTAGTTGGATTAATTTCATGTTGCCTAGTTATTGTCCAGCCTGTGGTTTGGCTTTGCCGGTTAGGTTAGGGAGACAATCAGCTGATCAGTAATTGGGAATACAATGGTAAGGTTATCTTAGAGCATGGAAGCATCAGCCAGCTAAACTTTTACTGCCCTGGTAGAAAAAACATGTAGATTAATTTCATGTAGTTATTCTCCAGCGCTGTGCTTTGGCTTTGTTTGTTACCTTCCTGAGACAAACAGCTGATGAATATTATTGGCATTAAAACAGCATGGAATCTCAGATCAGAAGCTAAACTTCACATTTTACTGCCCTGGTGGAAAAAATGTATTTCTTTTTACTGCTAATGGTGATATGATAACAAGACCGTTTTCCTATCAAGTGACCAATAATGAATCGCTACCATGCATACAAATGTGTAATTTGTACTTTCACATGTTAAATGCCCATTAAACACATTGCACAGTTTTGCCACAAGCTGAAATTATGGCTGTATAGAGACAGTGCACAGTTAAAACTTGAACGATCAGTTTGTTGCAAATGAATAACTTACCACTCTGAAACTCTGGCTTGACATGTACAGCTGACCCAAAGCATGCTTACCTCTATTGGCTTGTAGTTCTTTACTAGGGACTGCCCGTGTGCAACACCCAACAAAGATCAGATAGAAGTAAGATGCTTCACTCCGTAGCAAAAACAGAGCAGTCAAAACACAGGATGGTCCATCCATCATCAACCGCTTTTCCTGCATACAGGTGGGGGGTTGGAGCCAATCCCTGTTTACATCGGGCAATAGGTCGCCAGTCCATTGCAGGGACAATAATAGACGAACAATCACTCACACCTAGGGACAATTTTAGAGACACCAATTAACCTAGCCTCCATGTCTTTGGATGGTGGGAGGAAGCATCATCTGGGAGCACCGAGAGAGAACCCACACAGACATAGGGAGAACATGCACACAGAAAGGCCGGGGCAAACGGGGTTTGAACCCACGACCTTCTTGCTATAAGGCAACAGTGCTAGCCACTGCCCTACTGCACCACTCCAAAAAATTTGTTTTTGAAAATTAAACCATGTAAACCTGTTCTGGTAGAACCCCTAAATAAAATTATGAACCTGAAAATGAGCATAATATGACCACTTTATGTCATACACACCGGTGGCGTCTTTACGCATGTTAATTCTGCAGAGAAGCAGCAGTTTCATCACATTCGCTCCTTGCATCTGCACATCTCAGATACTGTACTTCTGTTGTACAGATACTGCTTCTATCGTGCGTCTGATGTGTGCTGCCTGCCATCCGCAAGTGTAGCAAAAGAAGGAGATGGGGTGGTTAAGGAAGAAAGAGTCTCAGGAAAGAGGTACATGACTAAGCAGAGACAACAAGCACTGAAAATCAAGCCAAAGACAATAACAGTTATTATAGGGCTGCAGTTTTCTTATGTCGATTATCTTTTCAATCACTCATATAGTCTATAAAAAGACCCTCAATTATTTCCCAGAGCCCAAGGTGATGTTTTCATATTACTAAAGAAATTTAAGTTGCAATGATTTAAAATGTGTTTAATTACCAGAAATGATGCACTGGGGGTTTGCAGATGGCTGATAACACTGAGCTGCATAAGCCAAATTCCTAAAATGAAATCTGTAATCAAAAGAATACGTTGCCTTGAAATGAATTTTCATGGCAAAAAAATAAAAATGTTTTACCTATCAGATTCAGTTATGGACTCTGACATTCAGCAGCCAATTTTATCTCACCGCTGCCAAAATGATTTCAAGGTAGGAAAAAACATTACCTAACACAAGCTGGCTTTCTGCTGACTCTCAGCCACAATGTAGAGGTCTGTGCTTGGTGTGACGTTTGATCAGGCAGATCAAAGATGACAGGCTGACCTAATACTTGTTTTTGTGTTTTTCCTTCAGCCAGTTTAAATACATTCAAACAACTTATGAAATGTTACAGGTGCTGTGTTTTAAAACAACTGGGCACTGTAGATTTAAGCAGTTGTCTCTCAAACTGAGTAAATCATGCATTTGTTAGGGACCACTTTCAGCTGCAGATTAACCCACATTTAATGTTAGAGTGAGTATTTACAGTAGCATACTACAGTGCCTATGTATCATACTAAAGGAACATGTCAGCCAGTGCAGCAGTGTGGCTCGATGTGTTTTTAATAGTTATTGAACAACACTGGAGCTCAATGGCGCAGAGAAACAAGACATCAGGCCCTATGTAGGATCAGTTCATTGTTGGCTTTGGACTTTTCATAGAATTTGTTGACCACAAGAAAAATATCAACCTTATCCTTTAATGCTGCTGCAAACATTCAGTTAAAACCCTGAATAAGCCAATCTAGTCATAAATTAGTTTCTGATTATGAGTAGAAAAGACCATTACAGAAAAAAAGATACACATGACTGGGAGCTTTCACTGTTGTGACAAAAAATGGCATAGAAAACCTTAGATGGTACTTTCCACTAATCACTGATGTCACAACCTGGCTCAAGGGTCATGACAAAAGAGGGAACGCGGCAGCGTATATGATCAAAAGTGATTTATTTAACAAAAGAGTGAACTAAACATAACTGTTTAAATGTGTAAGGTATGTCTCTGTAACATAAATAACTCAAAGCAAGATGTTGCAGTCAGGGTGGTCAGGCCATAGTTGACATCTGGATTGCAGAGTAGAGGGAAGCGAAAGTAGTTTGACCAAGTGGAGCTTTATCTCCCCTGGCTCACAGGTCCAAGGTGCACCTGATCAGCAATCACCTCAACAGAACAAAGATGGTTAACAGTGGTGAGGTATCACTCCCACAGAGTGGCCTCACCAGATCACACAGGGGCCGTCACACTGACAGTGACTAATACACAGCAGCCAATTTTTGTTTCTCCCTGCCAAAGGTATTGATGAGGAGGTTATATTAAAAAAGTCTCCCCTTAGCCTAATAGCAAGTAGCAAGGTGGTGAGAATAGAGAAAATAACTCTTTTCTTTGTATCCATTGTTCCAAGTTCTTATGTTAAAACATATTCCCACAAATGCCATTTGATTTTTTGAAGAATTGTGAATGCACTGTGCACTGACAAAGGCTTGATTTTCAGTCTGATCTTACTGCATATTGGATCAGTGATACAGTGCGAATGTGGCGACAATCTGGACAGCACATAGTTTTCAAAGCCTGTCGCTTGTGGCACTCTTCAGACAGACATACATTGCAGAAATATTTGTATTTGTGGTAAGCCTGGTTTTTGTAACAGTCATAACAGACATAGGCACTTCCAAAAAAAAAAAAAGAACAGTTTTGCTTTGATGATCCTCGTATAGATAAAGCCAAAGTGTTGGATGGGGTCACTCTTGTGTCTCGAAGAGATAAAAGTTTTTAATTTTTATGGGTTCATTTAAACCCTACACCTGCATGGATTGGATGTGCCTGCTCTTGAATTTCATCTTCAGACATGCAGGGGTACATGTAACATGCTACACACATCGAAAAGTAGAAGTTATTGTCTATGTTTGACAGGGCATAAAGACATGCTTTTTTCTTCTCATTTACAGTGGGTACGGAAAGTATTCAGACCCCTTTAAATTTTTCACTCTTTGTTTCATTGCAGCCATTTTCCAAAAATCAAAAAAGTTAATTTTATTTCTCAGTAATGTACACTCAGCACCACATCTTGACAGAAAAAAACAGAAATGTAGAAATTTTTGCAAATGTATTAAAAAAGAAAAACTGAAATATCACATGGTCATAAGTATTCAGACCCTTTGCTCAATATTTAGTAGAAGCACCCTTTTGATCTAATACAGCCATGAGTCGTTTTGGGAAAGATGCAACAAGTTTTTCACATCTGGATTTGGGTATCCTCTGCCATTCCTCC